GGAACCTGTCCCAGTGCTCCCCACCCTCTGCGGGAAGAATTCCTTCCTGATGTCCCATCTCCATCTCCCTCTTTCTGTTTAAACCCGTTACCCCTTGTCCTTGGAAAAAGTCCCCCCCAGCTTTCTTGTAGCCTCCCTGGCACTGGAAGGGGCTCTAAGGTCTCCCTGGAGCTTCCCTTCTCCAGGCTGAACCCCCCCCCAACTCTCCCAGCCTGTCCCCATGGCAGAGGGGCTCCCGCCCTTGAAGGGATCCCTGTCCTGGGATCACCATCTGAGCAAACACCTGAGTGCTCATACAGCATTTCCTGGTGTCTTTCCTATTTGAGGGTGTGTTACAAAGGCATGAAATGGGCTGATACTCAGAATGAACCTAGGCACACTGATCTCCTCTGGAGCAGCCTGCTCCACATCACCTGGAAGTTCAGAAATGGGGTGTGATGGCTAGGCATGATTTGATTGTCATTCCAACTGCAAATTCTCAGCAAATCCCGTGTTTCAGAGCAGAAAGGGATCTCTTGGCTGAGGTTAGGGGAGGGGACCACTCCCAGCCATACCGCATCATCCAGCTGGGCAGGTGACATTTCTTTAAGGCCTTGTGTGGGCGAGCTGGCAGGGGTTGTCCATAGGCTAAAGAAAATCTCCTGGAAAGCACAAGGTAAAACCTTACAGTGGCTGCAGTTTGGCTTAGTCCCAAATTTGATCCAGAAATTTAGGAGGGAATCAGACCTGCTTCCCTTCTATAAACCAGCTTGGACCCTGACCCTGTCATTTCCTGAGAGATTAGGGCATCTCTGGGGTGCAGAGCTCTCTGTTGATGATGCCAGGGGAGAAGGTGGCTGAGCTGAGGTTTATTTGTTCCCTTCTTTATTCTGATCCCTTTCTGCTCCTTTTATGCCAGCACTCCAGTTCACTTTCTGGAAGGCACATGGTTTTCCCTCCAGAAGCCCCAGAGCCTTCCACAATCAGGGTTCCAAGGAGAAGGAGCAATATTTGCTTTTAGCTAATTTGGTTGAAGCAAGCCAGGCGCAAACACCCTGACCACGAGCGTGAAGAAGAGCCTGGGAAGGGTGAGGGGGGTGGAAGGCAAAGCAGGGATTCCAGGCTGGCGCTCGGGGTGCTGCAGAGAGCACTGACGTTGCCTCTCTGGCAGGGAGCATCACCCAGATCGCGCTGTCGGAGGAGAGCATGGAGGAGGGGATCGAGTGGAACTCAGCTCTGACGGCTGCCGTCACCATGGCCACTGAGGAAGGCATGAAAAAGGACACGGATGAGATCTCGGGTAAGCTCAGGCTGCTTCTTGGGTGTTTTCTTCCCCTCCTCTTATTTACACTGAAAATAAGCAGCGTTTAGGCAATGCCAGAGCTGTCCCCCAGTCCCTTGGCTACCCCAGGCATGCAGGGTGCCTGCCAAACGGAGCTCCTCACCGCTGTGGGGAGAGGGGGGGCCTTTGGCCTTGTGGCTGTGGATGAACCCCCAGATCAGTTGCTACGAGTTACGGTGAGGGGTGTTTTGTTGGTCATTCTAAGGGTGTAAACCTCTGCCAGCCTGGAGCCCGACGGAAACCCTCGGGGAGCAGTGTCTTGTTAGCACCCCGTGTTAGTCCCCCGTCAGCTCCCTTGGCTCCGTCTCTCCGGCTGCGATGCCTCGCCGTCTCTCTTAGGATCAGTGCGGAAGCTTAGGCAGCATTTCCTCCAAGATTTTAAGCTCTGAATCTTGGAAAGATGACCAGAAGCAGCTAAATGTTGCCTTGGATGTCATGGTGCTGCTCAAAACCTGTTACTGATTTGCTGCCTAGATCTGTTTTGCTGTTCCGGCTTGGGGGGGGTGGTTGCAGGTCATATCCACCCCAATGGCCAAATTAGAAGTCGTCTGGCAAAGTTATGCTTGCCTGAAGGGTTCGAGGTAGCCTGGTGGGAAAAATGCCAACTGCTTGTACACACTGACTTCTTTTTCCCTCTGCTTGGGCCAGAGGACACGCTGATGTTCTGGAAAGGAATAGCTGATGTGGGGCTGATGGAAGAGGTTGTGTGCAACATCCAGAAGGAGATAGAAGAAGTCCTCAGAGGCGTCCAGCAGAGGTTGGGTCAGTCTCCCTTCCAGATGACAGGTAGGTTGTGAGCCTCTGGCTCTGCAGTGGGAAAGGATCTCACAGGGGCACCTCCAGGCAGAAAAAGAAGGTGTTGAGGATCCGTCCCCACCATTTAAAGCTGTTGAGTCAGGATGGTGAGCGAGTGACCACTCCGTAGCCGCAGTTAGCGCTGTGGGAGCTGAGCCGGGGCGTGCTCTCGGCCTGCCCAGCGGTGCGCTGCGTTCCCTTACAGCACTGCGGGGCACAAGGTGCCACCCCGCTCCCGCAGCAAAGTGACCGGGCAGCTGTCCTCCGCTCCCGGCCCTCCTGAAAGCCTGCCCAGGGTCACTTCTCAAACCAGGGTTACTCACTTTTCTCCGTGACAGCGCAGGCTTAGACAGGCCCTGCCCCCTCACTTCTCAGTGTGTCTTCACTTGTGCCAGAAAACCTGGTTTTGGGGCTGAACCAGATGAGGGAACTGATCTGGGTTAAAAATAACTCCCCTCCCCTCTTCAGGGTTATTTTTAACTTGGATCAGGTCCCTAATCCAGTTCAGCACATGCTCCTGTGAGCGCAGGGGTTGAGAGCACCTCTTGTTGACGCTCTTGGTGTGAGAACGTCCGTGTAGCCACAAACTTCATTTTACCCAGGGTATTTATTTTTTTTTAATTTTCTAATTTTGCTTTGGGCTGGCGGATCTCTGTGTCTGGTAGGTGGCAGCTTTTGGAAGCTGTGAGTGATTGAAGTCAGTGGATTATAATAGAAATTTTGCACAGCTTTCAGCAGAGCTGGCATGTTAATGACACTGTCAGCAGCATGGGGTGATGATTTGTAGGTGGAGAGCTCGTTTGTATCTCTGTGATTGCAAATTATGCTTTCATTTGCAGCAATTTTGAGCTGCTTGGGTGACACATCTCTGTTTCGTTTTCTTTATCATATGAATGGGATTATTTAGTCCTTGGGTGTCAGAAGGATGCGGGAGCTGGGTCTGCTCTTGTCAGCCAGCCCTGGGGAAAGAACAGGGATAGTTTTACAAAAAGCAGCAATTTTTAGTGTAATATGAGCATTTTTTGAGGACCTGAATCCCACCTGTGGGACCAGACACTCATCCCCACGCACTTTCCTTGCAGATGCTGCAGTCCTGAACAACGTTGCTCACACATTTGGCCTAATGGACACAGTCAAGAAGGTTCTGGACAACAGGAAAAACCAGACAGAGCAAGGAGAGGAACAGTTTCTTTACACACTGGCAGGTACAGTCGGCACCTAGAAAGGCTTCTCCTCCTGTTGCTGCTCGTGGGAGCTGATGTGACTTTCCTTTGACGTAGAACCACATTTGGGTTATTCGTCAATATGTGCTGCCCTGAAACAAACGCATCCCATTCCTTTCCCATCCTAGGGCTTGAGTGGAACTTCCCCTCTCCCTTGCCTTGCAGTGAGCAGTTCCTTGGTGCATTCGACAGCCCAAAGTCTGTGCCCTTCACTGCAGCTGGGGTGCTGGGGGCGCAAGGCCGGTTCCATCGGCACTGGGAAGTAGGTGCTGCTAGCTAAGGGCTGCGTGGCAGGCGTCCGAGCTGCAGGCAGGGCCGTGATGTGCCTGAGCTAATAAGCTTCTCTGTGCCCAGGGTGCTGAGTTATCTGCCTGTCTCGGCGTGGAGCTGTCGGGTATCTTGCACAGCTTCCCCTGAGCTGAAGCCAGTAGCCTGACCTGGATTCCCCAGAGCTGCTTCCCGGATGCGTCTCACTCCTCGCAGTGTCCTGTAGGACCTGTTCTTATCCGAGATGTCCTAGTCCCCTACTGCCCTGGATAAATGAGATCAGTGTGCTACTTGCAGCGTTCACACGGGCAAGGGTTGAGGGAGATGTTTCATTGAGCCAGGCAGTCCTGCTCCCTCTCCCCAGTGCCACGGCTGGCTCCTGGGAAGAGGACCCAGCCAAGCTCGGGAAACAGTTCCTATCCTCTGGAAGGGCTTGCCCACTCTCTCCTGGAGATGGGTCTAGCCTGGGGAGCAGAAAATGCCCATCTTCTCATCAGCAGGAAGATAACGGAGGCAGCAAATCGGTATAGAGCATTACCTCTTCCTTATCCCGGCGCTGACAGCCGGCCAGAGCAGGCTGAGCGGGTGTGGAACATTGGCCGGGTTTCCAGCAGGAGAATCCAGCCTTTTCCTTTGGTGCAGTTTGATTGTGGGTGAAATGCTAAGATCATGCTGGACTGGGTGGTTGGGAGACCTCCTGTCACAAACGCGGGGTGTAAGGGCTGTCGAGGGAGCCTGCGAGTCTCCAGGAGCTCCCGCGGCGTGCTGACCCCAGCCCAATGTGCTGCTTCTCTTTGCAGACCTGGAGAGGCAGCTGGAAGAGCAGAAGAAACTCGCCAAGGATCAGAAAGCCAAGTCCCAAACCATCCAGAACGTGGTGCTGATGCCTGTCAGTGCTCCCAAGCCCCCCAAGAGACCCCGTTTGCAGCGCCCAGCCTCCGCCACCGTCCTCAGCCCCTCCACCCCCATCCAGCAGCCTCAGTTCACCGTCATCTCGCCCATCGCTATTGCGCCCGTCGGACAGCAGTTCTCCGTGGGCAACATCCCAGTGGCAACTATTAGCCAAGGTTCCAGCCCGGTGACTGTTCATACC